ACCAAATTTTCTCCCCTTTCTTCATCTATATTTTGATACCTAAGATAGAATTCCAGTTCATCAATCTCTCCTTTCCGTATTTCATACTTATCATTTCCCTCCACTCTCAATTTGCTGTCAGGGTCAACAATTTTCTTATCACTTTCATATGTCTCTGTGGTTCGTTTGAATTCTGTCCTCAAATTTCATCATTGTTTTATAAGTATTCTCAACTCTTCCCTCCGTACTTTCTGTATTTTGATCTATAATTTCAAGTCTATTTTCAATTTTCTCTGTGATTATTAAGACTTTTTGAATTTCTAGAATAATTCTTTGCAATATTAGTTCCTTTTCTTATTCATATTGCACCATTTTTCCAGGTTATAAACATTGCCACTAAAACATCCAAGGCTTTTGCTAGGTTTCAAACAAATTCAGTGAAGTTTTTCAGGTCAAAGCTTGCTCTTTCTTATACAAGCAACACCTGTATAAACAAAATGTTTTCCACTGACTCTTTCAGTAAACAAAGTCAATAGCTTTGTAATATCAGATGTTGCCAAGCCTCTAGCTTCTAGATGGCAGTGTTACATCTTTTTCCTCTGTTTTTGCCCCTCTTTCTAAGCTCCAAACTCTGGAAGAGAAAAAAAAATGTTTAAAGATTACGATCCGGCCGAGCCTTGTGAAGAAAGAGACTTTTAATCCACGAATACAAAAAATGGGAAAAGTATAGAGGAAGAAGGGGAAAAAAAGACCAGTCCAGTTTAAAAGTAAGAGGCATTTGTAGAAAGTCCATCCATAGAAAACAAACAAAATTAAAGTGGAAAACATAACACGATAGTTTTAAACCAGGGTTAATTCACTGCTTACTTTCTTCTATCTTCAATTTTATTTTAACTCTAAGTCTTTGGGGTTTTCTCTTCTCTAATAATAAAGATTTTTCTCACCATTTCGACACACTGTCTCTCCTGTTCTGCTTTCGTTTCAGGGGCCTATCCCAACCTTCTGCAGCCATGGCTGCTTCTCTTGTAGCCGGCAAAAAGAGCTTTCCCTGGATCAATCAGAGGCTTTGCAATGCCCCTGAGATCAGCAGGACATGCCTTCTCTATCACCGTTCCTTCAGAACAGTTTAGATCCAAAAAGGATCGTCCAGCAACAGAGATATCGACAGCAATCCTGGAGCCCCAAGATTGAATGTAATATCGTAGCAACGTCTTTCCAGGACCAGAATTTCTGTCATTAAGCAATGCAGTTGCAAACTTAGTTTAACAATGACAATCTGAACAATTGCATGGGCCATTGTTAAGGGAGGATTGTGAGTCATTAAGCAAGTATTTTAGGTGGCTTCTAATGCTCTGTGGTGAAGGATGCATGAGAATGTACATGGGCTGATGAGGCATGGTTTGAGCATAGGGGGCTGGGAGAAAATCCATTGGAGGGGAGGGAATCTTGCCTGAGTAACTTGTGACTTTCCCTGACAGTTTCCCATTTACTTTGCTTGTGAGAAACTGGCAGAGAAGGCTTTAAATTGTGATTATGGTCATTGGATGCTTCAGTTCTTGTAAGTGCAAAATGGTTGCTAAGGCCCCAGATTGCTATCATGTGACCCTAGGGGCATAGTCATGGCCAGGATGTGGGAGGATTGGTAATACCACCTTCATTCAGTGGCATTATAATTTTAAAAGTCATTGAGCGAGTGATCATTAATTGTGCAATACCTGTAATCTTACCTACTTTAAACCCAACTGCGGGTTGAAGGAATAAACTGACAAAGATGTCATGTGCTCTCTGTGTGGGCCTATTCTATTCTCTCTGTTTGGTGGCTGTGTGTGAATAAGTGGCTCATATGTGTTTACTGAAAAATAACTCCTCATAAGATCTGTTTGCAGAGAAAACTGTGGACAACTATTAGAGGGCATTTGTACAAAAGTGCCCTCAAAACTATTTTTGGGGCTGAAGTGGTATTCAGCTGGTTCTCTTGGGCTCCGCCCACCCATCCCCACATAATGCACGAGCATTGCGCATGCACAGAAAGTGGTGCGCATGCGTAGATGAGATGTGCGCTCACATTTGTGAATTGGTAGGGAAGGTAAGTAAATCCCACCCCTGTTGGGGGCACAGTACAAAAAAGAGGACTTGCCCAGGGCGTGTATTCCAGCCCTTGGAACTCCAGGACTAAGCAAAGCCATATTTTTAAGGATTTATGCTTTAACTTTTTATTAAGGAGGATTCCCTTTTGTATATCATATCTAAGTTTGTCATTTACAGTTTGTTATCAAAGAACACATTTGTTTCTTCTTTGGTAACAAACTATAAACGGCAACACCCAAACTTAGATACTTGTGAGTGATATGCAGAAACAGACCTGGTCTAGCTTAGCTTTTCCTAGAAATCAGCAAAAATAAAATGGCTAATGAGTTGTTGTTTTTTAATATGATTTTCTGGCAATAAGGAATCCTGAAGGCTCCTTGTTTCAGATGTAATTTTGTTTTGTCCTCTAGATGTCGAATGCAATGAGCCAAATAATTGCCTTAAAGGAGAAAGGGCTGCCCTGCATAGCACGGCTCCTGCAATCCAACAATGCTGAAGTTGTCCGATCTGGAACATCTTTACTGAGCAACATGTCTCGACATTCTATTCTCCACAAAACCATGGGTAGGCATTATTTTGTACTCTATGGGACTCTTGATATATCATCCCCATCACCTTTTCCTTCCACAATGCAAAAACCCTCATATTACAGATAATTAAGATGTTGAACTTTTATAAATATATCTTTCTGTGGAGTTTTTTATTTTTAAAAAATCATCAACTCTAATTAAATAGGTATCACATTTCCTGTTTTATAATAATGCTTTAATAGTTGAAATTTCCCTCAACCTGTTAACTTTCCTCAACCTGTTAACTTTCCTCAACCTGTAATCTTGTTATTGGGTTACAATTCCCAGAGTTCCTCAATCACACTGGCTGGGAATGTTGGGTGTTGCAAATTTGACACATATGGTGAGCAACATAAAAGGATTGACTCCTCTGGTAGCTTTCCTAGTTGTCCATATTAATACTTGCTCTAAGGCGGCGATGAGAGAGAATGAGATGTCTGGATGGAGTCACTGAAGCTGTAGGCATGAGCTTAAATAGACTCCAGAAGATGGTAGAGGACAGGATGGCCTGGAAGAACATTGTCCATGGGGTTGTAATGGGTCGGACATGACTTCGTAACTAGCAACAACAACAAAAAATCATTTATTCATCAGTATTATGGGGTTCAAGATTAAATGAGTTGAGAAATGGAAATACAAATGAGGGAAGACTGACTGACTGATATTTCTGGGCTGTGCTACTTTTCACCTAAAATGATGTTGCTTCATTTTTATGGGCCAAATATATATTTATCAGGAAATCTACACAAATTTCATCACTACCCGATGCTGATATGCTGCAGTCCTTTTTACATTATAATTTTACATTCATTAAAAACTAGACTCTCTTAATCAATATCTGAGTAGTTGATTTTTCTCCTAATCTTAGCCTGAGTAGATATTTTGAAGGAGTTTTATTCCATTCTTTATTTAAAGATAGTCTCTTTCTACCGCTTTAGCTCACCAGGTGCTTCCAGATGTGACTCGCCTTCTAGCCCTCCAGGCTCCAGGTTCTAGCAACTATGGAGACATTATGACATCAGCTTGCTATGCCCTGAGGAACTTAATCATGTACAACCCACAGATGGCCAAACCTTACTTGACTGGCAGTTTGATAAATAATGTAGTAGGCCTGTGCCGAAATGGGTGAGTAATAATATGCAACTGGGGGCACATGACAATGATACTATGCAATGTTGACATGTGGTGTGACTTAGAAGTATTTTACACTTACTGTATGATTTTTGTCTAGATAACATATCCATTTTAAGGCCATTTTAATCAATAAATACTATATATTCTACATACTACAGGACTGATTGAATAGTCTTATCTGTACCGTCTTCCCACAATATTCCTCTAGGATTGAATAATGAGGTTGACTATAGCTACGCAACCTCCAACCACAGGATAGACCAGAAAATGTATCAGTGGTGCATTTGTTAAGTGACATCACTGAACCATGACCTATTTTGCTGTGGCTATCACAGAAAATTGTTGTGGTCATTCAGTGAAATAACACAATTTAACAATCTTCCTTGCCAGCTTCCTCTTGACTTTGCTTGTCAAAAGCCGGGAGGGGAGAGGAGGTTGCAAATGGCAATCATGCAACCCCAGGATGCTGCAACAGTTGTAAATGTATGAGAGTTGCTAAGCACCTGACTTACAATTACATGACTGCATGGAGAATGCACTGTCCATAGGTTTGAGATATAGTTATAAAGAGAATTGATATGTATGATTAAGAGAATTTTTCTCAAAAACTGCATGAAACAAAGCACCAATCTCTCATAATCTAGGCTTCATTGACAGAAGATGATTCCATCAACATTTTAAAAATATCCCCTTCTCATACCTACTCCGTTCAGGTCTTTGTGTAGGGAAATTCATATGTCAGCTAATTACACATACCTCAATGATTTTAAAAACATTAAATCCCGAAAATGTATCTTTTAGATGGAAGAGAGGGAGGGAGAGGGGGAGACAGGTGTCTGTTTGTGGGTGTGTATTATAGGTGTTCTTTTTTTTAATTACAGATCTTACCCCAAAGCAGCTGAAGCAGCTCGAATGCTGCTATCTGATATTTGGTCAAACAGGGAACTCCAATCTGTACTAAAACAGGTAAAGTATCAAGATGGCGTCTTTTCCCACTTCTTATAAAAGAATCCAGCATACCATGCACTTCAATAAGTAAAGTTACTATGTGGGTGTGCACTGTGAGAAATAGTAAAAGATAAATTATAAGGCAGGGGAAGTGGGATTTTTAAAGTTCAGCATGTCAAGATTTAATGCAGCCTCAAAATTCACCATTCATATGTACAATATGTTGGATTGTAGTAAGTGTAATTTTCTAGAGAGCGAAGAGTTTCTCTGGAGATGTAATGGGAGGGAGGGAGCAGAAGAAGAAAAGTAAGCAAGTAGTAGTGTCAGGGTTCCAAGTAAAATAAACCCCTCCCACTTTCCCACAGTACTAAATGTGGGAGCCCTGAAGACCCAAAGAAAAAGTTGCCCCCCGGGACTGACAGTAGGTTTCATTTATGGGTCCATGAATAAATGACTGCTTCAGAAACACAAGTAGTCTTATCTCCATGGGAAAAAATAAAATAAACATTTAAAAAAAAAACTATAGATACAAAAGTATAATATAATAAATTGAAGAAAATAATTGCAGAGGTACAGTTCTTTGATGTATTTTGAAATTTCACAAGCTGCTTGAATATTTATGTATGATTCTTTATAGCACAGTGACTGTAAAGTTTTATGTTCAACCTCAAGTTTCCTTTGAATGTAACAAGTGACTTGGAAAAAGCGTTTGTAGAGAATCCTTTTCAATGTACCACACCAGATACATCTAAGTATTTCTCTTATTTTAATTATGTTTTTAAAAAGTCTTCTTCTCTTGATTTTATCTGTTCTTTCCCTTCCATGGCTCAATCTGCAGCAAGGATATGATAAGAACATGATGGGATCTTTAACAGGAAGCACTCTCAGGACTTTGTCTTCCAGATTCTAAGAGACTTTGCATGTTTGGATTGCAGGTAAATGATGATGTCTTCTTTTTCAAAGTTAGAAAAAAATCACATTTCCTTCAGTTCAAATCATAATTATAGAACAGTTTCAAGACCGTGGTGGCTCAGAGGCTAAGACGTTGAGCTTACCAATCAGAAGGTCAGCAGTTCAGCGGATTGAATCATTAGCCCACCCAACAGGATGAGATCCTGTTACTTGTCCCAGCTTATGCCAACCTATCAGTTCAAAAGCATTTAAAATGCAATACAAAAATAAAGACTACTTTGGTGAGAAGGTAACAGCGTTCCATGTGCCTTTGGCGTTCAGTCATGCTGAAGACAAGAACATGGAGACGTCTTCAGACAATGCTGGCTCTTTGGCTTAGAAACAGAGATGAGAACTGCCCCCTAGAGTTGGGAACAACTGGCATGCATGTGCAGGAGAACCATTAACTTACGAACAATTTCAAGTGTTAGACATGGGGCTAGGCTTTCTCTGAAAAGCAACTGATTTTAAATTTGGTCACTACAATAGTACAGAAGAAATGGACTATGTATACCAGAGTTGTGGAAACCACACCCCTTAAAAAATAATTGGTTTGCTTAACAACTATGGTGTTCACTTAATAATTACTGAAGTTACATTATGACTGTCACAAAAAAGGCATAAAATTGATCAATCTTGTCTGTGAGTTGATGTACAATGTCATGAGTTACAACCATGATGGGAAGACTCCATTATGGTCGTAACTTGAGAACTACCTGTACTTAGTTGCATTTTTTTTTTTGTAACTCTCAGAATTCTTCTAGTGAGTAGGCCCAAAGTAGAAAGATTTAAAGGGCAAAATAGATACTTTAAGCCTTTCAATTGCTTAAGGCGCCCATATAATCCCTAAAAAATTCTGACACTGCTTCCTCAAATCCTCCCTGACAACTCCTGGCATGCCAGGCAAAACCTGATGCAGCCCTTAAGCCATTAGAAGTTGCATACCCCTACTGTAGACTAATTTTGTATCACATGCATTAACTCCCACATTGTTTCTAAATCTAATTAACATATTTTCCCTATAAAACCCAATATGATTTTCTTCTGGAATAATTTAATGGCTACCTGAGCCCACACACTCTTGTCTCTGTAACCACTTTTAAGGCGATCTTCTTGGTCTTAAGAATGGGTGGCAATGTAGGACAAGGACTCTCTCATGGGAGAGTAACACTAAAAGTCTGACACTTTCTTTCTAAAGCCTCCAAAAGGACTTTTTGTTTCTCTTGTTTGAGTGATTTCCACATTACTTTTTTCTCAAACCTTTTAATAAGACATAGGCTATAATATTTCATTATTGTTTATTAACAGTGATATAGCATCTTTCAGAAAAATTGTGTCAATACTTTACATACATGTTCAATTTAAAACTATATATATATATATATATATATA